GCTCGGCGCGGCTCCCTGGCGTCCTCTGCTACGTGGTATAGGAAAAACACGAGGTATCCTAAATACATCCTTCCTTTCTGAGATGAGGGGTGAGCTGCTGCTGCTGAAGCGTACATTGCTGACACAGGACGCGTCTGATGGGAGCCCACTGCCAGGAGTAGGTAGTTCACATCCCTCAAAAATCGTTGTTCCAGGCTATCTGCAGATTCTGCTGGCTTCGTGTTCATAACGTTTATCTTCACGGTTAGGACTGTGAGAGAGAGAGGAAAGCCTACCACCATCACCCTCTACAGTGGGGGGAAAAAAAAGCTCCAGCATGTGAAAGCTAAATTTGTGGAATCTGGTTATAGCCCCTTGGAAAGGTAACCCTGGGGGAGGGAAGGCACATTAGATTTCACGTGGATCAGCAAGTCCTTCCCTTGCTCCCTGCGCGCTCACACATGGTGGTGTCAATACCAAGGAGGACATGGGAACTAGTGAATGGGGAAGGACAGGGCCAGGAGGAGAGAGGCAGGATTGCTTGTCATTTTAATGCATTAAAATGATAGCAACTGAGGCTCTGTCCACACAGCTCTTTGCCTTTTCTGACTAGCAGTGGCGAATTTTAAGAGCCCGAACTGAAGCTCAGCAAACTCAAAGGCCTGCTCAGTTCCCACTATATGAAGATAGTCTTTCATCCCTTTTCAGCTGGTCTTAGTTTAAAGTGGTGAAAGGCTGTAGTCCATTATTAATATTTTGAAGCATCCAGTCTTCCAGTAAGAGATTTAGGAAAGGATCTTTAAAGCAGGCAGTTATCTCCTAAGTGAACCAGCTTGCAGAAGGTGAAATTACTCCCACTGTGGGAAGCTATTTGCTAGATGTCAGTATTAACTGTTAGGATTCTGGGTTCTGCCTCTTGATCTGCCAGAGGAACGAGGTGCAGCATTCAGAGAGAGCTGCACTGACAAACACACTGTCTTTCTTTGAAGTTTAGGTAGCTAAATGAAGCAGTCATATAAAAATGGCTCATTTTTTAAAATATGGTTGGCTCTTATCATTAATATGAAGTTATAATAGTGGCAGAATTTGTGAAATGCACAGAGGCAGTCAGTGAAAAGTATGAAATGACCAGAAATTTTTAAGGCCAGTTTTTGTGGGTACCATCATCACCAGTCATAGCAGTATCCTGTAGTAGGTAAGAGAAAGACAATGATTAATACAGAGAAAGGAACTAAACTGTCTTTTCAGTCTCCTCATAAAGTCAGGCTTGACATGCGCGTGACTGCACTGGGGCAGTTTTTTGCAGGAAGGTGTTAAATGAAGGATTGAAAGTCTTATCTGTTTTTTTCCAGGAATGTCATTTGGTACAATAAAAAATGTGTAATTGGTTACTGTAAACTACTTTTTCACTGAGAGGAATACAGTTGTATACGCAGATTTGCAGGTGCCTTTCACAGTAATTTGTTGTCTTTCTATTGGCACATACTAATAAAATATCACTCTGAGAAACTTGCCACTGAAGATATGCAAAGCACTAACTGAGATATGAACCTCTGAAACTTCAAAACAGTTAAGTCCAAAACATTTTTAAATCAAAGGGCCCAGTTTGGCAGTACCATCTCGCAATTACTCCTGCAACTCTTCTCTATTGGAAAGATTATGTTTGGCACGCTAGCTGCCTGTACCTTTTTGGAGGGGAAACATCTCTTGTTTTCTTTGATATTTTATAACAGAATCACAGAATTGTTGAGGCTGGAAGGGACCTCTGGAGATCAGCTGCTCTAGTCCCCTCGCTCAAAGGAGGGTTACCTACAGCAGGGTTATGTTCATTCAGGTTTTGAATATCTCCAAGGATGGAGACCCCACAACATCTCTAGGCAACCTGTTCAAGTAATCCTCACAGTAAAGTTTTTTCTTATGTTTAAATGGAATTTCCTGTATTTAATTTTGTGCCCGTTGCCTGATGTCCTTTCACTGAGCACCACAGAGAAGAATCTGGCTCTGTCTTCTTTATTCCCCCCATCGCTAATTATAAACACTGATAAGATCCCCCCGGAGCCATCTCTTCTCTAGACTAAACAGTCCCAGCTCTCACAGCCTCTCCTTGTATGGGAGATGCTCCAGTCCCTTAATCATTTCAGTAGCCCTTCACTGCATTGTTCCAGCATATTTATGTCTCTGTTGTATTAGGGAGCCCGGCGCTGGACGCAGCGTTCCAGGTGTGGCCTCACTAGTGCTGAGGAGAGAGGAAGGATCCCCTCCCTCCACCTGCTGGCAATGCTTCCTAATGTAGCCCAGGAAGGCCAGGATTGGCCTTCTTTGGCACATAGGTGCCTCACTGGCTCATGGTCAACTTGTCCACCAGGAACCCCAGGTCCTTCTCTGCAGAGCTGCCTTCCAGGCATTTGGCCCCCAGCCTGTACTGGTGCATAGGGTTATTCCTCCCCAGGTGCAGGACTTTACATTTTCCTTCGCTGAAATTCATGAGGTTCTTCTCTGCCCATTTCTCCAGGCAATCACCTTCTTGTCCTTTGTATGTTTGGAAATGATTTCCAGAATAATTTGTTCTATTAGCTTCCCAGGGACTGAGGGATGCTGACCAGCCAGTGGTTCCTCCTTCTTGTCCTTCTTGGG